GAAAGATCAGCCTGGATGGTGATGAGAGATCAGTCTGAATGGTGTGATGAGAGATGAGTCTGAATGGTGATGAAAGATCAGCCTGAAATGGTGATGAGAGATGAGCCTGGGATGGTGATGAGAGATTCCCCAGATTCTGAATGGTGATGAGAGATGAAGCCTGAATGGTGATGAAAGGATCAGCTCTGAATGGTGATGAGAGATGAGTCTGAATGCAATGATGAGAGAGTGAGTTTGAATGGTGTGATGAGAGATGAGCCTTGGAAGGCGGTGATGAAAGATCAGCCTGAATGGTGATGAGAGATGAGTCTGAATGGTGATGGGAGATCAGCCTGAATGGTGTTGAGAGATCAGCCTGAATGGTGATGAGAGATCAGCCTGGATGGTGATGAGAGATCAGCCTGGATGGTGATGAGAGATCAGCCTGGATGGTGTTGAGAGATCAGCCTGAATGGTGATAAGACATCAGCCTCGATGTCTTCGGGGCTACATCAGTTTGGATGTGGACAGAATATCTCTGTGTGGGTATCTACTCGACACCAGGACAGACAGACAGACTGGGCAGCAGATATAGGTAAGTTTGTGATAAATTGTATTGAGGAATACTAGAGAAAAGTTGGGAGGTGACAAAAAGGGAAGGGTAGGGGTTTCAACAATTTCTAATACTGAATCTTTTAAAAAATGTATTTTACGTGGTGTGTATGCTTCTTGTCTCGAAGGGAAACATAAGTGTAAAATTCCTGTCAAGGTTTGGTGACCATTTCTGTTCTTCCCTGATTTCTTCGTTCCCAACTCAGAGAATTACCAATTGCTGATGGGAAAACTCGGTGTATCGAAGCTCCCATAATTATCTGGGTTTCAGATGAGTTAAAGCAGATCAGTTATTTCCTGCTTGATGATAACGATAGAGATTTTATGTGGCTGGAAGAAGCTGGATGCCTTGCTGATGGCAAAACTCGGTGTATCGAAGCTCCCATAATTATCTGGGTTTCAGATGAGTTAAAGCAAATAAGTTATATCCTGCTTGATGATAACGATAGACATTCTATGTGGCTGGAAGAAGCTGGATGCCTTGCTGATGGCATGCTTCTGATGGCCAGGTCTTTGAGTGTTAGGGTATTGGGTTCCTTGAAACTGTAGGCCGTGTCTCAGCTGTAATACAGCATCCTGCTCCATCACACACGAGTCTAAACCTAGTCGGCAGACAACACTAGCAAAACCTGGCCATGTGTCTCAGCGTTGATGAGAGTAAGGGGTGAGAGAGGTATCCAGAGAGCGCTAAAAATATGCATGGTGAGAAAACATATAAACATTGTCTCAACAGACTGGGCAAAAGATACAGTGCAGCAGATCAATTGGCATCAACTTATACCGTATAGGTGAGAACAGAGGATGATGCTGATAAAGATGAAAATGATGATGATCAATCACCAGCAGTGTTGGACGCAGGAAGGATATGTTGTGTATAGTTACTTATTGACATCACAGACTGCAGGCATGTTCTTGGGTGACTAACGCATGCAGAAACCGAGTAGTCATAATGTGAAGAAGAGCACGTACCTTGGAGCCGGCAGATGCTATGGCGCGAATGGCATGTCTGAAAGTGAGCTTGGTCGCAGTCGACGTTGGATGTCTGGTTCCCTGAGTGGCGCTGATGGTCGCAGACCGAAGGTCACACAGGTCCGTGTCTGGACACGCCAGTCGGCTGAGAACAGCCTGATTCCCGCTGTGTTGGAGACCCAGGGTGTAGCCAGGCTGGACCTGTGGGGGATCCATGGCAAATATATTGTAGCATAAATGTATATCTGTGGGGGATCTATGGCAAATATATTGTAGCATAAATGTACATCTGTGGGGATCCATGGCAAATATATTGTTGCATAAATGTACATCTGTGGGGGATCCATGGCAAATATAGTGTAGCATAAATGTACATCTGTGGGGGATCCATGGCAAATATAGTGTAGTGGCATAATTGTGGATCTGTGGGGGATCCTTGGCAAATATATTGTTGTGGCATAATTGTGGATCTGTGGGGGATCCTTGGCAAATATATTGTAGCATAAATGTACATCTGTGGGTGATCCTTGGCAAAAATAGTGTTGTAGCATAAGTGCGGATCTGTGTGGGGATGCTTGGCAAATATAGTGTTGTAGCATAAGTGCGGATCTGTGTGGGGATGCTTGGCAAATATATTGTTGTAGCATAATCGTGGATCTGTGAGGGATCCTTGGCAAACATATTGTAGCATAACTGTGCATCTGTGGGGGATCCTTGGCAAATATAGTGTTGTAGCATAAGTGTGGATCTGTGTGGGGATGCTTGGCAAATATATTGTAGCATAATTGTGGATCTGTGTGGGGATCCTTGGCAAATATATTGTAGCATAACTGTGCATCTGTGGGGGATCCTTGGCAAATATATTGTAGCACAATGGTGGATCTGTGGGGGATCCTTGGCAAATATATTGTAGCATAATTGTGGGAGTTTATGACTAAATTAATTACTGGTGTGTGTCTGTGGACATGTGAGAAATCGATAGCAAATTGTTCCAGCATTGTGTGTGTGTGGCACTAAGGCAGCTAGACCCTCTCTTACAACATACGACAATCCCACCCAGTACAAAGACATTTATCATACAATATTTCTATGCTTTCAGTGCCAGACATGGCCACTCACAACAAATCAAAACAGAAAATCAGCAGCCATGGAAATGAAATGTCCGAGAAGGGCAGAATAAGTGACCAGAAAAAATACAATTGGGAGGGAGGTCGTAAAAGAACAGGTCGGCTCAGAACGAACGCTAAGTTGCATAAGAAGCCAGCAAATCAAAGGGTTTTTCCACTCAGAGAGAATGCCTTGTGGCGCAATAACATACAAGGCATGCACCAAAAAAGAAGCAGAACAAAGAACGAACGAACAACGAAACGAACAAACTTTATTTTCAAAGGGTTACAAATTGGGCACGCAGGCCCAGCTGACATTCAGCCCTTCTAAGCACTCATCTTTGAGAGTACCAATGCATGTTATCAATAATGCATTTTATGTTTATAATAAAACAAGTACACATTATAGAATAATGCATACACACATCATGTATACACAATCATAAACACTCAAACACACACACACACACACACACACACACGTACACATACTCTTACATTTTCATACATAATAATATACAGACATACGAAAACAAACATACACGCACTTACATACATATACACACACATGTATACACAATCATAAACACTCAAACACACACACACACACACACACACACACACACACACACACGTACACACGTACACATACTCTTACATTTTCATACATACTAATATACAGACATACGTAATTCAAACATACACGCACTTACATACATATACACACAAATACATACATAATACATACACACACCCACATGCATACATACATACATATACACATTCAAACACACACACATGTCCACATACTCTTAAATTCTCATACATACACATAAACACTAATATACAGACATACGTAATTCAAACATACATTCACTTACATGCATATACACACACACATACATACATAACACATACATACATAATACATACAAACACCCACATGCATACATACATACACCAACATGCATACATAATACATACATACATCCAAAGATACACCAACACACATACATACATGCACACACATAATACACACACATACATACATACATTGACATACATGCACACATACATTCCATAGATACACACCTACACATTCATACATACACCTACATACATACATACATACATACATACATACATACATACATACATACATACATACATACATACATACATACATACATACATACATACATACATACATACATACATACATACATACATACATACATACATACATACATACATACATACATACATACATACATACATACATACATACATACATACATACATACATACAACATACATACATACATACATACATACATACATACATACATACATACATACATACATACATACATACATACATCCTACATACATACATACATACATACATGCAGCATGCATACATACATACATAGCATACATAACATACATACATACATACCATACATACATACATACATACATACATACATACATACATACATACATACATACATACATACATACAGACATACATACAGACATACATACATACATACATACATCGACATACATACATACATACATACATATCATACATACATACATACATACATACCATACATACATACAACATCCATACATCCATACATACATACATACACCACATACATACATACATACATACATACACACATACATACATACATACATACATACATACATACATACATACATACATACATACATACATACATACCACACATACATACATACATACATACATACATACATACATACATACATACATACTACATACATACATACATACATACATACATAACATACATACATACATACATACATACATACATACATACATACATACATACATACATACATACGATACATACTTGCATACACTAACCTTAATACACACACACACATCCACATACTTACACAACTACACATGCATGAATACCAAGAGATCTGCACCTACCCATACATACACAGACACCCAAGCACACATACACTTGCACATACTCATTTATGCTCAAAATCCTATACACACACAAGCACGCGCATACATTTATACATCCATATCCCGCACCATTTGTACGTGTATTTCACACACACACACACACACACACACACACACACACACACACATTATCTATACACAAGATGATAATGTTTATGAAATATTAACTACATCTATGCTGGCATAAAATCAACAAATAGCATGAATTTAAAAAGTTTGCGGTTAAATGAGTACATACTCGTATTTTTCAGATTGAGTGCGAGGTGATTCCATAAATGAGCAGCAGAATATGACAAACTTATTTTATATAGATTTATTCTAGGCTTCGGCAAATGCAATAAATTTAGCCTTTTGTTGTTCTTAGGGCTGGCGCGAATCAACCTGAGCTAAAATGTTATGAATAAATTTGGCTTTATTAAAAATTAATCGTTTATTAAACTGCAGAATTCTTAGATGTCTATAGAGATTTTTTTTCAGTGTGTTTTCTATCGGAGACTAGGCGTAAAGCTCGATTTTGTAGAGAACACAGTCGTTTTGAGTTAGATTTCGAGCAACAACCCTAGACCGTGGAACAATAGTCGATTTGGGCTTAGGCTAGGTGAAATATTTTTCGTGTACTTTGATCCAGAAAGTGCTGAAATTTGGCTAACTGATCAACTTTTTGTGCTACTTTCTTGGTTATTGCATGAACATGAGAACACCAAGCTAGACTGCTATCAACTGTAACGCCCAATGTTTTGTGTTCATTAACATTACTGATAGGTAATTTGTCAACATAGAGCTCAAGCGAAGGCTTGGTTAAGTCTAATGTCCATAACTTTTGTCTGGTTGCTATTACCATAGATTTAGTTTTAGTTGTGTTAATTTGCATGCGATTAGCAATACTCCATTCGATAAGTTTATGTAGTTTATTCTGCAATGAAAGTCCCAACTTCTCAATGTTCTTATGATTAGTGTATATAGTACAGTCGTCTGCAAATAGGTCACAGGTTATGCTAAGATGTTAGGGAAAGTCATTAATATATGTGGCAAAAAGCAATGGTCAAAGTATTGAACCCTGAGGAACGCCAATATTTAGCTGTGTGGAATCTGAAAGGCAGTTCTCAAAGTAAACTACGTGTCGTCGATCAGACAAGAATGACTTTATTAAATTTACTAAATTTTTGTTAGTTTTTAAGGTAATTAGTTTGTTAATTAACATATCATGATCAACCATATCAAATGCTTTCTTAAAATCAACAAAAAACTGCTCCACACATCTTGCCATTGTTGATGTTAACATGCCAGTTGTCTGTCATTTTTGTCAAGGCAGTATGACAAGAGTATTTAGGCCTGAACCCTGACTGACTATCGATGATTAGATTGTTGTTATTTAAATGTTGAAATGTTATTTTATGTATGTGTTTCTCTAATGGTTTTGATAGTGATGATAGTAAAGAAATTGGTCTATAATTACCCAGAGAAGTTTTATCAGTTGAGCCAGGTTTATATAGAGGATACACTTTTGCAACTTTAAATTCAGAAGGAAAGTAGTTTTTGGCAAGACACTGATTATATATGAAAGTTAAGGTATCGCTTATCACTGGTGCAGCACATCGAAGAATTCGATTGCTGACACCATCCAAGCCAGATGAGTTGTTTTTTTTTTCTTTTCTTTAGATTAGTGAGTAATTTATCTACTCCAGCAACAGACAGAAGAAGAATCTCAGAAGGACTAGCATTAATGCATTTGTCATCACTGAATGATGCTAATAGGCTCAAGTCACTTTGTGCATCTGGTATGGCGAATTTTAAATGTTCTATTTCTGATTAGAAAAAATAACTGAAATCATTACATGTAAAAGAATCTGGTTTTACAGAATCTGAATGATGTTTCCTGTTGGTCAGCATGTTAATACCTTTCATATGTCTGTACTGTTTGATTTATATATAATTAATTTATTAAAATGATATGTCTTGATCATACAAATCATATATTGTACTTTATTTCTTAGCCTACGATACTCGATGACATTTTTATTTTTATGTGCCATGTCTCGATCTCTCATAACCTCCAGAACTTCACTAGTGATCCATGGGGACTTAGTTTGATTTTTTACCCTAAGTTCTTTAACCGGCAAATGTTTATCAAACACATTGTAGACTGTTTTCGTCCAGTATGCTATAGCATCGTCTGGTTCAGAAAGCTGATAAACATGCTCCAGCTGTGCGTTTCGCAAATCGTTTAAAAATACTTCTGAATTAAAGGTTTTTAAATTACTAAATCTAATTGTGAGATGCTTAACCTTAGGAGACTTACAGTCACATTTTGACTATGTACAGCACACTGGATAGTGGTCGCTAACTGCACTAACAGGAACCGGGCATTCA